AGGTTCTTAGGGGACTTGAGAGGGTAAATGCAGAAATCCCCTTGATGCACAGTCCAGGACCAGAGGGCATAATCTCAGAATAAGGGGTTGCACATTAAGACAGAGAAGAGGAGGAATTTCTTCTCTCAGCGGATAGTGAATCGGTAGAATTCTTTACCACAGAGGGCTTTAGAGGCTGGGTTGTTAAATGTATTGAAGGCTGACCTAGATAGATTTTTAATCACTAAGTGAAACAAAGTTATGGGGATTAGGCAGGAAAGTGGAGTTCAAGATGATCAAATAAGCCATGATCTCATTGAATGGCAGAGCAGACTTGATGGGCTGAATGGCCAACTTCTGCTCCTACATCTCATTAGGGTGAGTGGTTTGGTCAGAAACCTACAGTTGTTGGTGTTCTTGTATACCTACTGCCTGTGTCCTTCTAGATGGTAGTGATTGTAGATTTAGAAGGTGCTTCCTAAGCGCACTAGGTGAATTTCTGCAGTACAACTGCTGCTACTGAGCGTCGGTGGTGGAGACAGTGGATGTAATGTCATTAAGGACTGCCTTGTCCTGGATGGTGCCAACTTTCTTGAGTGTTGTTGGGCCTTGCACAGCAGAAGCTGGAGGTTTCTGCTAGTGCTGGTCTTACATACACAACTGCTCCTCCTCCATTACTCTGCCTCTGTAGCACTGTAGCCACAGAAACGAAGACATCTAATGTGGCTGTATCCATTGGTCATGAACCTGTGTCAATGAACCTGTGTGGGGGAGTATCAGAAACAGAACAAGTTCTTAATCATGTGAGCATCAGCATTTGATAATTTCATAAAATCCGCCATACAACAGGTGATGAAGGACTCCGACAAGGAATACGATGGGATGCTTCTCCACAGACCTCTGACGTGCTGGACACAAAGCACAAAGCACGCTGCACAAATAAAGTAGGAGACTGTAAGTGTGGTGCAACTACTGAACACTCCCCACACTTCCAAATCACCCAAGAAAGGCAGCGATGCTTATAAGAATATGCTGTCAAATACATACAGTTCAAGGCAAGAGGTAATCCTGGAGCAGTGTATGAGATCTTGGACTTTGAGATTTTGTCTTTTATGAATTCTGGCCTGTGGGTAGGACTTCTAAGGTCAGATGTGATTATTTCTGCTTTGCAATGATGACTATGATCAATCTGTAATAGCACAGAGACGGTTAAGATTGCTTGCGGGCAGGATTTGCATCGTCCAACTGTGTGGGATGCGTGTGTCTCATGTGCAGGTTACTATGATTACAGATGTCTTTAGTCTATGCTGTGAAATGGTCTAATTAATGCAATTACCCCTTGAAGGGCGCCACGTTGTTCACAAGCAGAGCCCATGCCCTCAGACACAAAATTATCTGATTATTCTGGGTGTGTCATAGCCATTTTTCATTTCCATTGCACTTTCATAATTCCAATGAAGATAGAAGACAGTGCAGGTCATGCTAGGCAGAGTGAGTCACAGGCTCAGTTGGGTAATCCATGTGCCTCCCAAATCTTCATGTCTCTTCCTTTTTTGCACTCTCCTTCTCGGCTCCTTCAGTTCCGAGCTTCCACGCGTTCCCTCCCAACTCTTTCATTTACATCTTCATCTCCCACCATTACTCCCTAAGACCCAGACCTACAGCGTAGCCATGCCAACCATTGTGATGTAATGTCCCCCTGTTGAAACAAGGGTGTTGCTGACCATTGATGATTTCTTCTCCCACAGTAACCCGTGTCCTCCAATGCACTACCACCCTTACAGCTATTTTAATTAACCTGACTGGACATTAAGACAAACTTCCAGAGCAAGTTTTACCTGAACCCAGGCCTTCTGGCCCAAAGGTAGTGATACTACCACTGCACCCACTCCCACCCTTACATGTTGATCTACCTCCCTTCAGAATTATTGTCACCTCTGCACCCCAACATGCTGCCTCCACTCCCTATAATTGACTTCCCCGATAACCTCCCTCGATTTCCAGTCAGCAGACCCCCAGGATTGACCCTGGACCTCTGTGGCCCACCCTGTGACTGACTTGAAAAGACAGCCCTGACCAATGAGGGACTGGACCCCTGACTGATCTCTGCACAACTCACTGACTGAAATACTGCTAAATTACAGACTGATTGCACTGGGCCTGCAGAACTGACCATGACCCCTTCCCAGACAGTAACATTATAGAACACCTGAGCCTGCCTGCCCCAAGAAGCCAACTCACATGTGTTCAAGCCCCTGGACTGACGTCAGATGCTGCCCTTGGCTTACTGTGGTGGGACACACTTACTGACAACAGTCCCCCTTGACTTGACCAGGGACCACTCCTCTTAGACTGCGAGACATAATCATATTCAATGTGTTTGCCATGTTAGCTGCAGGCACATGCTGTAGGTGTGACATTGACGTAACATGTTGCCATACAGCAACATGTTCACCACTTGACAGGTCACAATCATGTTATGCCACCTGGCATTGTACCTGTGCTTAAGACAATGCAAGACAGAAGTACTGTGAGACTTTAAATTCTGAGTGAGGTCACAAAGCGCAAAAAAGCAATGCAAGAAAAGGCAGAGATGCTGTGCAAAGTAGATGCAAAGTGAATGAGTACTAAGAGACCAAGCAAACAGCCCTGAGGTACAGCTTACTCTGGTATATGAATTGGGTGCCTATCCCTGTACACAAAGTGGCAGCATTGCAAAGAATGTTGTTGGTGCACTGCAAAGTGCAGCATAGAAGTAGATAACTACACTCCATGTGTAGTGGAGAATTGCCAGGAAAATGTGGCGAGGCTGTGCATGTGCAATGCCATCCTCTGTGGAAGTGCACAGAGATGTTGGAGACTATCCAAGGTACAGGAATGGAGGAGAAAGCTACCATCTGGGGCCTTCAGGTACCTACTCTGACTTTCGGGAATTGTCTCCATTTACTTCCTCTCAGCTGCTTAGGAGAATAGGAAATTGCAGATGAGTAAAGTGAGAGTGAGTCCTAATGGGACGCAAAACTGCTCATTGTTGCTCACTAGTGAGATTCTCGTCTCACTGTTCATACCTTGGATGGAAAACTGGACTCTTTCTCTCAATATCTAAAATCTAATTTGTCCGATCTCACCATATTTTCCCAACTGACTTATTATTTGAATCATTCAGTGTTTGGGAAAATACAGCCCTGTGTTCCCTGATTCTAGAGTCACCACCCTATCTACATCGATCCTGTCATGCCCTGTAACAATTCTGTAAATCTCAATGAGATTGTAGCTCATTCTTCAAAATTATGGACCACATTTTCTCAATTTCTCCTCATAAGGCAATCCTCGCGATTAGCATGATAACCTTCTGTTGCACTGTCTCTACGGCAAATACTGAATATCCTTCCTTAGATAAAGGCACCTGGTCTCCTTATCTATCTCCCAGCCCATCAACGGCAATCCCTTTGACCTTTCTTTCCCTCTCCCTCTCTAAGCACCATCTCCATCTATTCAACTCCGTTCTCTCCACCCCCACCCCATCATCAGCATAAATTCTGACAAAGGATCACTGGACCCAAAATGTTAACCGTTTGTTTCCTATCCACAGATTCTACCAGACCTGCTGAGTTTCTCCATCACTTTCTATTTTTATTTCAGATCTTTAATCCTGTATTCAAATTAATCCCCTTGTAATGAAGGTCAATATACTATTGCCTGAGATAACAAGGTGTGGTGCTGGAGAAACACAGCATGCCAGGCAGCATCAGAGGAGCAGGCAAGTTGATGTTGTGGGTCGGGATCTCTGACTCCAGCATCTGCAGTTCTTGCTATCTCTGAATATAATACTGCCTTCCTTGTGGCACCTGCTTGCACATTTTCAGGTGACTTGTAAACAAGGGCACTCAGGTCTTTTTGGATACCAATATTTCCCAATCCCTCACCATTTAAGAAATATTCTGTCCTTCTGTCTTTCTCTTTCTCAAGTGGATAACTTCACACCTATTCCCACATTAAATTCCGGCTGCTGTGTTCTTGCCCAATCATATTACCTTTCCAAATCTGCTTGAAACCTCCTTGGAACTTCTTCATTAAATACACTCCCACTAATTTTTGTGTCATCAGTCAATTTTGAAATATTACAAATGGTCCCTGCATTCAAATAATTTACAATAAATTATCAACAGCTTTGGCCTCAGCATTGACTCTCGTGGTATCTCACTTGTGACATCCCAAGAATGATCTGTTCCTTCCTATTCTCTTCTTTTGGTCTGTTAATCACTTCTCAATTCACACTACTCTGTTACCACCAATTCCATACACTCTAAAGTTGTTTAATATTAGTGAAAAACAGATGTAATCACTTATATTTCACAGTCAAATGTCTGAGCTTGGTCTGAAAAAGAACACTGGAGCATCATTATGTGGGAACACAAAACAGGAAAAAAAAAATGGGCTTGTGCGCCTAACTCTCCTGCATTAATTGAGTAAATGATCCCATTATATTACTGCTGGGTAGCATAAATACAGGTTAAAATATAAGTCTTTTCAGGTTACATTAATGCAGTCCTTGGTAGCTGGTTTTAAGAGTGACATTACTGCAAGTAATGGGCTGTCTGTGAATGACAACTTGCACAGAAACCAGCAAAAGACAAATACATTAAAGGGTTTGCATGAATTTATATCAACTAACAACAAATCACTTAAGCCTACGGTGGGCATTCAGATACAAAGTTTGATTGGAATGAAAGTGGATTGGATAATGTATGATGAAATCCAGTAGATCAGGTGCCTGTGCAGCAAAAGATAAAGGTCAGACTGAAAACAATTCCACCCAGCCAACCCTGATGCTTCCAGCAACACCCAGGCCTTTTGCAGGGTGCCATCATGTATCCAGGTATCAAAGCAGTTGACCAGGCCTAAACCAACTTTCAATGAAAGACATTTCCACATTTCAACATTAAACTTTAGTAAATGTTACAAATTTTAAGAGCACATGTGAGTGTAGAATATGCATTAAGACAGAAATCCACTCTTACTTTGTGAAGGAGCTGGAAAGAAGTCCAATAAAAGCCGTTACCGCACCGCCCATTGCTGTCTTCCTGCATCCAAACCAGTCAGTGAAAATGCTGACTACCGGAGAACAGAAGAAAATCATCCCCATTGAGACTGCACCTACCCATGCTGCAAAGAAAAAGGAAACAAGAACATAGTTTTAATTCAATTTGTTGGATTTGATCTCTCCTCCAACCAATGTCCTCACCGTCTCACCGATGGACCATTCGCTGGAAATATTTTGCATGGCTGGGGAACCTATGGGCTCAAAGTCACAGATTAAGGGATTGGCCATTTGGGACTGAGATGGAAAGACATTTCTTCACTCAAAACGTTGTGAATATTTGAAATTCTCTAGCCCAAGGACTGTAGATCTCAATTGGTAAGTACATTCACGACACTGGGGCATTAATGGAATTAAGAAATATGGGGACAATGTGAGGTGGTCAGTGATGATTTTGGCAGGGCAGGCAAGTAAGACCAAATAAATGGGCTGCTCCGACTCGATTGGTGCAATGTGGCATTCATTTCTGGGTGGTATGACAACAACAAACTGCATCTGTAAATATCCCTAGTTGCTTCTCAAAGACAGAGGGAACAGATAAGAAGCACATAGAAAATGAATTAGACTGCAGTCAGGTTACCAAAGGTATAGTCAACAGCTACCAGTTAATGCTGTTTTTGAGGAAAAGTGGGAGATGTAGCAAGGTGAAGATTAGTGCTAGTACATTGGATGCAACGTGGAGGACAGAGAGGAATGGGACAGATTTGGAACTTTGATGAAGAATCACAGAGATTCAATAAGTTAGCAGGAGGATTCAGGCAGCATTTATTTGGGAGTGAAACGTCAGTGAAGGCTGGTCAGGGTGGAGGTCTTAGTGCGCAGAGCATTGGACAGGATAAAGCATACGTTAGATTGCAGGAGAAGATGGAAGAAAGTGTTGGAGAAATTCAATCTATAATTCTGCCGATAGCTTTCCTGTTCAATGCAAAAACCCACTATATCAAATAATCTATAGATCCCATGGCTTTATGCACAACAGTCTGGGACAGCAACCCTTCAAAAAAAACCAAACTTTCTTAGGATTTAAGTTATGCAATGAATGTCATGCAGCATTTCACTTACTGTCTTTGGGAAATTTGCAGCTGGGTCTGTAAGATGCTTTTAATAATGTGTTTAAATAGGCTGTTTTAATAATATGCCTCGTGGGCTTTGGACAATGTTGAATTATATAACTAAATGTCAAGCTTCCTATTTACGTAGTTGTTCATCTATTATAACTTCCCTTTTGAGAAGGACATGTACCGTACATTATAATCAAGAGCTAGTTCAGTGAAGGATGAACTGATCTTCATTTCACACATTTCTACCAAAGAGTACAATAATAGGCAGCAAGATCGGAGCGGTGAGCCTGTTGCCTTGAAGCCAGTAGATTTTGTAGTTCACATTGATTTGTGAAATTTAAACAAAGTAAAAAGAGGTAAATAAGAGCACAAATAGAAGCAACGTGCCCGGCCTTTGTTCTTGAAGCTGCTAAGGCTGAAGGGCCAAATTGTAGTTTCCTCATCATCGCTCAAGATATCAGAAAGGCTTCAGAGATAGTAGGAACTGCAGATGCTAGAGAATCTGAGATAACAAGGTGTAGAGCTGGATGAACACAACAGGCCAAGCAGCACCAGAGGAGCA